AGCTATCACTATAGGGTCTCCTAATCAACAAAAGTTAACATGGAGTAACGTTACTGGGCGTAAGAAAACACAGTTTCATGCACTCTCATAAATCATGGATATGATTCATGCTCTAACAATTGCATCCTCCCAAACAATCAAATCACTGTCATCTTATACATCTAAGCACTTAACGGTAGCCTCCCACATGGGTAGCATATTAAGAAAAGTGTAATTTACAGTCCCCACAGAGTTGAAATCCTTGTCTATGCACTGAAGTTACATTGGTTTATCTTATATCACTTTTTACATCATCTCTTTACAGCTAGCCAATATCCATTTATCTTCCTTTAGAATTTGGTGAAATGGATGGCAAAGTGATCCACTGGTGTCTACAGAGGGTTTGCACCAGGCTAACTAAATCAATTTAAAAGTGGATTTTAGTTTACAATCTGTGGGTTTAGACAATGACTAACAGCAATGCTAACGAAACCAGAGTAGCTCCCTTCACTTCTACCTTTTACTCTCCTTTATTGTAAGATGCTTTTCCCCCATTAAACAATGCCTTTGGCCTCCCCACCCTGCTGCAGTAAATCACAACCATTGCATGCCCACTGAATGTCAGACTGGGGCCTTCTATGCTATATATTTTGCCACTTGGTACCTGTTTTACTGCCCCACTTACACCCAAAGTGTATCTTACACTATTGGTTACGTCACCATGGAATTTGGCCTGTACCTATACATATGTATGAATGTGCAATGAATCCATTACATGCTTGTTGTACAAAGTAGTCATGTATTCAGCAGGTAGAGGCCACACTCTATGAAATACTAGCCGCCTGATGTTTAATGGGTACACCCCCTCCAGCTGTGACGTATAAGCCACTACACTTCTCTGTGAGCATCAGGCTGGGGGGCTGAATCAACTACTGTGAACTATGTGGTTGCCTGGATAGCTGTGATTTCTCTCCAGTGGGGCAGGAGCTCCCTCTGCACTACTTCTGCTGCTCTCGCAATGCTTGGGAACCTGCTTCATGTGCTTGTGCTGCTTCTCTCTTCTGAACTCCACTTCCTGGGCACTACAGTGCTCATAAACGATGGTCACATAAACACCGCCCTATACCGGAAACCTGCTGACCGCTATGCCTACCTCCATGCCTCCAGCTTTCACCCAGACCACACCACACGGTCCATTGTCTACAGCCAAGCTCTAAGCTACAACCGCATTTGCTCCAACCCCTCAGACAGAGACAAACGCCTGCCGGATCTCTATCAAACGTTCTTAAAATTACAGTACCCAACTGCTGAAGTGAAGAAACCAATTGACAGAGCCAGAAGGGTACCCAGAAGTCACCTACTACAGGACATAAATTAACAGAACTCCACTAGCCATCACCTACAGCCCCTGCCTAAAACCTCTCCAGCACATCATCAAGGATCTACAACCTATCCTGAAGAACAATCCCTCCCTCTCAGACCTTGGGAGACAGGCCAGTCCTCGCTTACAGACAGCCCCCCAACCTGAAGCAAATACTCACCAGCAACTACACACCACACAACAAAAACACTAACCCAGGAACCTATCCTTGCAACAAACCCAGTTGCCAATTGTGTCCACATACCTATTCAAGGGACACCACCGTAGGACCTAACCACAACAGCCACACCATCAGGGGCTCGTTCACCTGCACATCTACCAATGTGATATATGTCATCATGTGCCAGCAATGCCCCTCTGCCATGTACATTGGACAAACCGGACAAACGCAAAAAATTAAATGGACACAAATCAGACGTCAAGAATTATAACATTCAAAAACCAGTCGGAGAACACTTCAACCTCCCTGGACACTCAATAACAGGCATAAAAGTGGCAATTATTCAACAAAAAAACTTCAAAAACAGACTCCAGTGAGAAACCGCAGAACTGGAATTAATTTGCAAACTGGACACCATCAAATATAGGCCTGAATAAAGACTAGGAGTGGATGGGTCACTACAAGAACAAAAAAAACCCTAATTTCCCCATGCTAATTTGCCCCTACTGTTACTCACACCTTCTTGTTAACTCTTTGAAATGATCCATCCTGATTACCACTACAAAAGTGATTTTTCATCCTGTTGATAATGGCCCACTGAATTGTCTCAACCCCCACTTCGTAAGGCAACTCCCATCTTTTTATGTACTGCTAGATATATTTTCCTACTGTATTTTCCACTCCATGCATCTGACGAAGTAGGTTTCAGCCCTCGAAAGCTTGTCCCCAGATAAATGTGTTAGTCTCTAAGGTGCCACAAGGACTCCTTGTTGTTTTTGCTGATACAGACTAACACGGCTGCTTCTCTGAAACCTTTTCTGAACATGCTTTTCCAACACTGGCATTAGGGATTCTGGTGCCCTAAAATGGAATAGATTAGAGCACTCAATATGAGATTTGAGAAAGGGGCATTTATAACAAGCATCTCCATCAACGCCATGAGAGCTTTAGTATTTCATTTTATCTGGGGTGGGGGTGGGGGGGAAGCACATTCTTTCCTGTTGTACTGGGAGGCAAAGATGAAGCATGAGACAATCAAACATTGAAGGGAAAGGCTGAGATCTTTACCTCATTATAGCTAAAATCTTAAGTGTCTCAGTTGAGTAAATGGGCAGTGACTATTTTAAAATTTAAAAAGATAAAAGCAAGTTCAATGGATACTTTGCGGGAGACAGGGCAGCTCAAACTTCGTGTAACCACCAGTTAATGCTTGTTACATTTCCCCTTCTATAGAGAAAGCACAGATGAGTGTTACAGAACTGAGCTCTGTAACTCAAGCTGTTCCCCTGATTTCAGCTCCACAAGTCCCACTTGCGTGATGGCTTCTAAGCTGAAGACAGGAGTCCCTACAGCTTCAGCTAAATAGCCAGGCTTTCTAGCTCAGAGCTGTAAGTAAGGTTGCCAACCCTCCCGGTTTTGCCAGGAGTCTTCCGGAATTGGGCTCTATCTCCCAGAGACTACTGAAGCCAAACTGGGAGATTTTAGGCCACTAAAAGTCTGGCAGCACAGTTGGGCTAAGGCAGGCCCTAGCCCTGGCCCCTGCCTGCCCTGGCCCTGAGCCACTCCCAGAAAGAGCCGGCACATCCCTGCAGCCCCTGGGGGGGGGGGTGGTGCATGGGTCTCTGCACCCTACCTCTGCCCCGAGCGTCAACTTCGTAGCTCCCATTGGGACCCAGCACCCCGCACCCTGCACCCGCCCACACAACTCAAACCCCTGCCCCAGCCCTGAGCCCCCCTCCCGGAGTCTGCACCCTGAACCCCCTCCCACACCCCAACCACCTGCCCCAGCCCTGAGCCCGGTCCAGCACCCAAACTCCCTCCCAAAGCTTGCACCCAGCACCCCCTTCTTCACCCCAACCTCCTGTCCCAGCCTCAGCCTGGAGCCCCCTCCCACACTCTGAACCCCTCGGCCCCAGCCCAGAGCCTGCACCCCAAACCCCTGCCTCAGCCCGGTGAAAGTGAGTGAGGGTGGGGGAAAGCAAGCAACAGATAGAGGGGATGGAGTGAGTGGTGCGGGGCCTCAGAGAAGGGGTGAGGCCTCAGGGAAGGGGCAGGGCAAGGGTGTTTGGGTTTGATTAGACAGTTGGCAACCCTAGCTGTAACAGACCCACATCCTCTATGGATTGGGCACATGTAACAGCGGGTTACAGCCAAAACTGGCCTTTACATCTTCATGCCTTGCTAGACTACACTTCCTTTCCCGACCCATTGGGCAGAGTTGCTCTAAGTCATTGTATGCTGCACTAGAAGTAGCTGCATTTCAGTGCTGGCTGACATGGTCCATGGGAATAGTTTGTAATACATTTAGGAGCCCTTTGAGATTTTTAAACATATGGTGCAAGTGGGAGGACTGATAGCGAGACAAAGGGGAGCAATTATGACTCCCTAGACCCACCCACAAGGTCCCCATCTCCACTTAATGAAAGGCCCAAGGTCAACCAGCCTGGATAAGAGGTCATTAACATGATGCGTGTGCTGGCTAGAGGTAGAGAGGGTTCTTCTACAGCAGTGGTTCTCAAAGCCGGTCCGCCACTTGCTCAGGGAAAGCCCCTGCCGGGCCGCACCAGTTTGTTTACCTGCTGTGTCCGCAGGTTCGGCCGATCGCGGCTCCCTCTGGCCGTGATTCACCGCTCTAGGCCAACAGGGACTGTGGGAAGGACAGCCAGCACATCCCTTGGCCCATGCTGCTTCCCGCAGCCCCCACTGGCCTGGAGCAGCGAACCGCGGCCAGTGGGAGCCGCAATCGGCCAAACTTGCGGATGCGGCAGGTAAACAAACCGGTCCGGCACAGCAGGGGCTTTCCCTGAAGAAGCGGTGGACTGGCTTTGAGAACTACTGTTCAACAGAAATACCAAGTGCTTCACACAGGAGTCAAGACAGTTGCCTCTGTTGCTGTCATATCTCATGCTAGTCTAAAGAATGGGACCAAGTTCTGATCCCGTGAAAATTACCACATTGCACTAACCCCTGTTTGCCAGGCCTGCCTGGTAAGAATATTTTCCCCATCAGTTTCTTCATTTTTGTAAGCTTAGCAAACGACATGAGAAAATGGGTCAAATCTTGGGCCCAGTAAAGGAGGTTTTGTTTTGCCATCAACTTCAGCAAGAACAAGAGTGATCCAGGTGAAACAGAGCAGAAGGAGGGGAAAAGCTGAATTATATCTGGTACCAGCTGAGCTTCCAGCATGTTGCATAGGCTGCATTCTGTTCTCCCTTAAGCAAGGAATTGCAAGAGACAACTCAGGCCCTGGGGCAAAGCCTCAGGACTCTGAATGTACCCGTAGTAGCACCGCATTCAAACAACAAGAAAATGCACTATCAGCCCTTCAAGCTTCAGATCTCCTATACCTTCACAAAAATGCTTGTAGCAGCAGCATCCACAGACACAGCGAATTAAGGTAGCTACAGGTGGCCCTGGCTCTAGGCCAACACATAGCTACTTCTCACTTTAGAATATAGGAATAAGAGGCAAAATACATACCATCGCCAAAAGAAATTATAAAAGCAGCAACATGTTCTCTCTTTACGCTGAGGATGCAGACACCGGTGGTTACCTTGGCCTGCTCGGTCTAACCACTGAGCTCATGTATTAACACCCCTTCCCTGGATTAAATCATTTTCAGGAACAAAATACTCCGTTGTCTAATTTTCAAACACAGTGGCATGGAACCTTTGGCAGCAACCACCATGGTAACACATGGCCAGTGCCGCTGGCACGGGGGCAGAAATCAATGGTAGTGACACTAATGACATTGAGAGTAATGTGAGGGAGTTTAGACGGATTATGCAGAATTGGCCAGCCTGTAAATAGACCAGTTTATACCAGGCCTTCAAAGGGTTCTGGAATCCGCATTGCTTATTAGAAGAAATGATCAATACTTAAGTAAAAAACCAACAGTGTTCCAATTGAGGCACCAGCTATGGGAAAGCTCAAGGGACTGTTCTGTAGATTACCACAGAGTTGCTTCTTATTTCCTTATTCTTATTTGCTCAGGCTTGGAACCCTAGCTTGTGGATAGGAAACATGCAAACTACAAGTTTCCATTTTAATATATTTTATGAACGAAACTAAATGCACTGTCGGGGCTTGCTCTCTCACAGCACCCCCCTGGGGCGTGAGAGGGCCTTGCAGTCACCCAGCCTCCTACCCTCAGTGTCCAGGCAGTGGTCAGCACAGGTCTAGGCATGGGGGACTCAGGCCTCAAGCTCAGTCCTGAGAAGCCTACCGCCTTTGGGGGCCATTGATGATCCCAACAGTGACAAAAGAGAAAAAAAATTAACTAATGGAAGCCAGTAGCAGGCTCCCCTTCTGGAAAGGAGACTCCAGCAGTGTTTAATACATCATTCACTGGAGTTCTAAAGAAGGCATTCAGGGTCTGGTCTACCTTTCTGCTTAGGAGGCTCAGATTAGCCATGGTCATGTGAGCCAATCTCTTCTCTTGTCACCGCAATAAAGAGTTACAGTGAAAGATTCCAATACAATTCAAGAGGATACAGCTTGTTACACTGAATAGTCAAATGGCAAATGTATGTGAAAATAACATGATTTCTCAGGATTAAACACACAACTCCTAATCCCTGAAATAGACATGTGTGTGATCTTTTAGGCAGCAAGGTTTTTAACCCAGAGCTGTTTTAGGTATTTGAGGAATTATTGAATAGGTGTCACTCAAAATTAAATTGTGTGGGTTCTAGTCACATATTTCCCTCCACATGCACACACATTACCAACCATCTGTTGGAGTGAAAAACAAGAGCAACAATGCTGAGATAAACACAACGAGGAGTCCTTGTGGCACCTTAGAGACTAACAAATTTATCAAAACAAAACAAAACAGGTGTACAGTTACCTAGGATTGTTGTTACAACTCTTGCAGTTTCATTCACCCTCAGGCTGCTGGTTTGTGGTTGAAAAGAATACCTGGTGGACTTATTGCCTCTGATGTTTAAAATTGGACTTGCTGGCTGACGAAGGGATTACCTGCTTGTAGGTGTCAGATCTCAGATGTTGTTGGACTCATGCCCCTCCATGGCGAGCCAGGAGTAGGGGAAGCACAGGCCTCAGTCAGGCATAGTCAGAGGCCAGCAACCAATGGCCACTGCTGCAGCAGCCTTTGCAGGACAACAAGAAAGAATCCAGGCTGCTTCCTTGTGTTCAGTTTTTGAAGATGGTCTCCTAGCTGGTTCCTCCCCCTTGGAGTCCTTTTTAGGAGCTTGTAGGCAATCCAGCATGGTTTGCCTACAAGCATCTTCTAAAGTCACAGGCATTCCCAAATAGGGTCCTATTAGGTCATCTTTATGCAAACAAAGAGTCTCCCCATTCCAGTCACTCCAGGCTCTGAAAGTCCACAGATCCAAAAATATATTCTCTCACTCAGCAAGTCTGTAGCTATTTTGAGACATTTAAGGTCAAGGCTCAGCTTCAGACATTATCTCAATCATTCTAAAAGTTCTGACTCAAAACTAACTTCAAAATTGTAAAGCTAGCTGAAAGTTGAAGCAGAAATGATAGAAACTATTCCTCTCTGGGCATGGCTGAGTGAATATATGATTGATGCACTCCAGTTTTACAGACAGATGCATACAATTTGAAATTTTGGTACTCAATTGTCAACAGTATGTATATATATATATTTTGGACACACAGGACCTGGGAGAAAGGTTAGTCTTCAACTTGATCAGAGTAAAATGTCTTTTCCTTCTAAAAATCACAATTTTGGGGTTCAATTTTATTATGCAAGTTTATTTGCCTCATACTAAAGATGATTTCGTAATGAGAAAGTGACCCTCAGTATTCATGTCTGAGCCAGCATGATGGGCACCTGTGCTGCCTTGTATGACCCTGGGAGTGAATGCACCCCTCTAGTCACACCATATACACTACTGTAATAACCTTTGGACAAAATATGCCTCGTGAGATATCATTTGAAATCTAATGCACTGGTCAATGATATGGTGAAATGTGTGCAGCAACATTATATGTAACGTTATTAACATAATCTGAAATCATGACTGTAATATGGTTATCATACAACCCTGGGGAGTGGATAAACCTGTTTTTCAAAGACAAAGGACAAGATGTCACATCTAGCCAGGTGTCATCAAAGCTAGTGGGCAATCACCTGTCAAGTGGCCGTTCTTTGGCAAGGAATGGGGGCAGGAACAGATCAATCTACTTACATGTTATCAAACAGCATGGAACCTCTTTTACCAGGAGCCTCCATGACTCTAACCCCACAATGGGAGTGAACTTTATCTAGGGGTAACCCTCAGGAAAATGCAGTTCAAAGGGTGACTGGAGTATAAAAGTGAGTGGTAAGAATACCCCAAAGTATCTCTCCCAATCTCTCTCTCTCTCTCTCTCTCTCTCTCACACACACACACACACACACACCCCTAAGATGACAAAAGAAGCAGCTATTTCACTTTGGGCGAGATCCTGACCTGATATTTGGTCAGCTCCATTGCTCAGAGCATGTGGTAAGGACTTTATCTTGAACCAAGTCTAGTTGGTTAAGTTTTAGCTACCAGAAAGCATTTAATCTTTCTTTCTCTTGTCATCATTTCTGACTAATGCCTTGTACTTGTGCTCACTTAAATTCTCTCTTTGTAGTTAAATAAACTAGTTTTATACTTTAATCAAACTAATCCAGTGTTATGTTTAAACTGAAATGTTGGGTAACTCCAATTAAAGTAGCAAACTGTTGTAATGGACAGGGCAATGGACTAATGATAGCTGAACTGTCCAGGAGAACCCACAGCATCCAGTGGACAGTGCAGAACCTATGTTCTGGGGGGGGAAATTAGGGACTGAGAGTGCGTTGGGTTATCCTACAGGCAGTATCTAAGGCTGCTGGGATCAGTTTATTGGCAGGCTTCAGCTATACACGGACTCTCAGGGTGTGGCCTGCATAAGGTTTGGCTGTTTGTGAGGAGCCCAGTTTGGGAGCTACAGCAGCAAAGCATTGTGAGGCACCCTAGGTTGCAGGGCAAGTGGTGACAACCCTTCACTGGACTGGATTGCACCCTGGAATGTGACTCATCCAAGACAACGTCAGGAAAGGGAGCAATTATTAAAAGGAAGCAGTATGGTATAGCAATTATATATTATATAGGAATATATATATAATATATATATTATATATTATATAGGAATTAGTCCAATATCTTTCCCCCATCTCTAATTCTAAGATTTTGTAAAAAAAAAAAAAAGAAAAAAAAATTGCTGGCTGGTAAAATAATGCAGGAATTGAAGTATGGAGAAAAAGCAAGACAGCAATCAGAATGACTTGATTTTTAAAGTGCGGATGTCATCTAAATGATTCAAGTTTTAATTCCACCTAGTATTTCACAGGTGTCAGTCATGATCCTGTCTGAAAAAAGGTCCATTTTTTCCATCAGTGGGGTTTGCTCAATATTTCTATTTTTCCTCCTCATTTCAGGTTCAAAATGTTTTGAGACCCATTCTCATAACGTGAGGCAGTGAGTGGTGGGGATACCGACAAACAAATTCCACACACATTCTTCATCCCAGTAGGGAATAACCAGCTTTACTCCATTCCATCCATTATTGGCCTCTGTGCAATAAGTATAAGAATTGGGTGATTATCTCGCAAGTTGCCTTTGCTCAGGAGTCTATTCTTGCTTATAGCTTAAATCTTCAGTTATTTTAGAACACGAATCAACTGAGATTGATACCTCAGAGCCAACTACTAGTACTCTTCCTATTGTATCAAATGAAAAAAAAATGTTTTCTCTTTCACATTTCCCTGGGGCCCCTGTGCATTGCTGATACTTTACAAAACAAAGGGAAACAATCTTGGTAAAGCACTTAGTGCTTTTCATCCCTGGATCTTAAAGTGCTAAGTATTGTTGGTTATTATAAATAATAATATGAGAGCTAATGGTAGCTGTATTTGTTAGCAAAGATTCCTCTTTCACAAAGAGTCTTGGCTGAGAAATGTTCATGAAATAAAGCCCACCATTTCACCCAGCTCTAATCAAACAAGGCGACACACATGCTTTTGGCTATATGTTTGGGAATGAAGTATATTTCCTGTCTATAAGCATAGCACAGTAATGGGCACTGGTGGTTAAAAATAACACTGCCTTACATATATTTGCATTTATCTATTCTCTATTTTTGAACATGCTTGCAGTAAAAAAGTTTGCTTTGGCATTCCCTGCTTCCCGCTATGGCTCTCTGCCTTCAGATGGCTTTGCATCTGCAGAGAACACAAAGAATTAACAATCTAGCAACGAGGAAGGGCAGAGCCACAGCTGCAAAGTGGGTGTGGAAGGGCACCCTTGTTCTCCCAGAAATGCTGCCTGTATAATGATGAGGTGAATGTAACATCCAGGGATGTTGGTGGCGTGTACTAAGGAGCAGCTCCTCCACCCTCCTCTTTGGAAATTGTTACATGTGTTATGTAGAGTGCAAAAGATGCAACACGAAGGAGCCACGTGGCCATAGTTGGTGCAAATAACCAGGTTTACTAAATATATACAATATACAAGGCCTAGCTACATATACACACTGCATTTCTGGCAGGCTTCTGGTGGCTTCTGAAACAGAGAATGA